CCTTTTCACGCGCGACCACCATACGCCCAAACGCGTCACCGCCTTCCTTGTTCCAGCGGTACTCATACGACGTCCAGGCCTTGTCCAGGGACTGGAGAGTCACGGTGGCCGTCGTCGTGACGGGTTTGCCTCGCGTCGCTCGGAACCTTCCGAAGAGTGCCTTCACCTCGCTGTCGCTGCGCGCGTTCACGAAGGCGCTGCACGACTGCAGCGTCCACCTTTCCAGTAACGCCGCATAGGTGGTCGAGTCGTCTTCCTGCTCTCTTATTCCGTCCGATCTGCCGAAAACGCATAATGCTGCGTACTTTCTCTCTGAAGTGAGGGATGGTGTGACGGGCCATCGTCACACATTGTCACCGCGGTGGCCGTGGTGACCAATCAACCTATAGAGTACATTTACTGATTGGCGTGGTCTCACGACCACGCCGTTAACTTTCAATGTCAGAGCTCTATTTGCTTGATTCCTCATACAGTGTACGCTATGTAGCGGGCTGGCTTAGCCCTGTAACACCACGTATGTCGATTTTCAAAAATCTGTCGAATTCGCGCTGAAAGACCACACCACAAAACATCGAAAAGGCACTATTGTCACTGCCAAGTGTCAGCTTGAACCACTGCAGTCTGACTGTCATGCTCATAAAGTCTCGAAAGATCCCAGCGAAGCTTACATGCCCTACGGTCTCTTTTCAAGCTTCGCCCAGTTTATAGTGGTCATCGAGTGGGGACAACTCTGCAGCTTAACATCATTCTTGTCCAGGGTCGCGCGGTAAAATTCGTTTTCTATTTTCGCACTATTCCCAGTCACGGCGTTGCCGAGGTCGGCCACGTCTACTACTTTTTCGAAATGGCCAAGACCCGATCCGCGACTGAATCTATTGATCTTTTGGTAGTGATTGCCTACCAGCTTGGATATTGACGCTTCAAGGGTGGAAGTGTGATAGCTGCAACTTGCCCCCGCGGAATGCTGCTGGTCGCTCAGAGCTCACGTCGTGTATAAGGGACGCAATTACGACTCGATGTGGTTTCCGATGGTTGACTGTGATTGGAATGGCGGTTCGACACCAAACCTCATCACACTTAATGAGTGTTGGCTAGACTCGAGCAGCTTGACCCTAACTCAAAAATGCAGTGTACAGAAGCTTGTCGGAACAGACCATCGAACGTGAATCCAAATCGAGTTACAACACGCCGTGAAGATAAGCTCAGCTACAGCTACTGCATTTCCACTCGAGTCTGCGGTAGCCGATATCGAAGACGTTGGCTGTTGTCAGGTACATCATTTCCTTTACTTGGTCAGTGACGAGTAATTTACACCGATTTCTACAGCCAGTCAAATGTGAGTGTACGTGAAATAAATTCACGGCGTGGTTGTCCACCAGTACGGTGAGGAATGAGAGTGTTCAGCTTCCATGCTCATGTCTGCGATTAGCCCAAAATGCATGTACGTCTAGCGAACTCCGTCCTTCGTACTAGGTGGTCCAAATGTTTCTCGCGTGAGGTATTGTCTGTGGGGGCTCGAGCCTCGACATCGAGTCGAGGTGGCTGTTTTCGCCATATAAAGTGGTATGGTGGCTCGAGTATTTTTGAGCACTGTAACTTCGACGATTTGTATTCGTTTTTATTCGACTTTCAGGCTAGCGAACCTTGCAGAATTGCACAAGCAAAATTTGGCGTCGTTAAACAAAATGTGGAGTCGAACCTAAATACGAATTGCGATTTAGGCACAGAAAGCGTGGCGTCTTCAATATGGTCACCACCTCCCACCCCACACAATGTTGATACGGCAATGTACACTAGACACAATCATTATGATACATATTACTTGAGTTCAGTAACCTAGGGTGTGCATGAAATGTGTCGCGGTGCCAAAATCCATTGTTTGTATTGGATCCCTACCGTTTTCCCCCGCATATAAGACATATGTGCTGTAAATGAATACAACACTGCTTGTGTGTTATATTCGTTTAGAAAGCCTATGTGTTGTACAACGAACAAATTGTTTGACGTTGAAGAAGCAAGTTTGTGGGTCCTGAAATCTGGCTTGGTCGTTTAGGCTTGACCCTCCTACGCGATCGCCACGCTGTGCTTCTCGCTCAACCGCCACGCTGTGCTTCTCGCTCAACCGCCACGCTGTGCTTCTTGCTAAGAGCAGCAAAAGACTTCATGCTCATAAAGTCTCGAAAGATCCCAGCGAAGCTTACATGCTCCCTAGCGCTCTCTTTTCAGCTTCGCCCAGTTTATAGTGGTCATCGAGTGGGGACAACTCTGCAGCTTAACATCATTCTTGTCCAGGGTCGCGCGGTAAAATTCGTTTTCTATTTTCGCACTATTCCCAGTCACGGCGTTGCCGAGGTCGGCCACGTCTACTACTTTTTCGAAATGGCCAAGACCCGATCCGCGACTGAATCTATTGATCTTTTGGTAGTGATTGCCTACCAGCTTGGATATTGACGCTTCAAGGGTGGAAGTGTGATAGCTGCAACTTGCCCCCGCGGAATGCTGCTGGTCGCTTAGAGCTCACGTCGTGTATAAGGGACGCAATTACGACTCGATGTGGTTTCCGATGGTTGACTGTGATTGGAATGGCGGTTCGACACCAAACCTCATCACACTTAATGAGTGTTGGCTAGACTCGAGCAGCTTGACCCTAACTCAAAAATGCAGTGTACAGAAGCTTGTCGGAACAGACCATCGAACGTGAATCCAAATCGAGTTACAACACGCCGTGAAGATAAGCTCAGCTACAGCTACTGCATTTCCACTCGAGTCTGCGGTAGCCGATATCGAAGACGTTGGCTGTTGTCAGGTACATCATTTCCTTTACTTGGTCAGTGACGAGTAATTTACACCGATTTCTACAGCCAGTCAAATGTGAGTGTACGTGAAATAAATTCACGGCGTGGTTGTCCACCAGTACGGTGAGGAATGAGAGTGTTCAGCTTCCATGCTCATGTCTGCGATTAGCCCAAAATGCATGTACGTCTAGCGAACTCCGTCCTTCGTACTAGGTGGTCCAAATGTTTCTCGCGTGAGGTATTGTCTGTGGGGGCTCGAGCCTCGACATCGAGTCGAGGTGGCTGTTTTCGCCATATAAAGTGGTATGGTGGCTCGAGTATTTTTGAGCACTGTAACTTCGACGATTTGTATTCGTTTTTATTCGACTTTCAGGCTAGCGAACCTTGCAGAATTGCACAAGCAAAATTTGGCGTCGTTAAACAAAATGTGGAGTCGAACCTAAATACGAATTGCGATTTAGGCACAGAAAGCGTGGCGTCTTCAATATGGTCACCACCTCCCACCCCACACAATGTTGATACGGCAATGTACACTAGACACAATCATTATGATACATATTACTTGAGTTCAGTAACCTAGGGTGTGCATGAAATGTGTCGCGGTGCCAAAATCCATTGTTTGTATTGGATCCCTACCGTTTTCCCCCGCATATAAGACATATGTGCTGTAAATGAATACAACACTGCTTGTGTGTTATATTCGTTTAGAAAGCCTATGTGTTGTACAACGAACAAATTGTTTGACGTTGAAGAAGCAAGTTTGTGGGTCCTGAAATCTGGCTTGGTCGTTTAGGCTTGACCCTCCTACGCGATCGCCACGCTGTGCTTCTCGCTCAACCGCCACGCTGTGCTTCTCGCTCAACCGCCACGCTGTGCTTCTTGCTAAGAGCAGCAAAGCCGTGACCTTTCACACCTTTCCGATAGTCTGCTAGAACAGCGAGTTTCTCGTGGATACTATAGCTACGTAGCTCAGCACTCATGGATGTGTAAATTATAAAATAAGAGAATTAAAGCCAAGTAACACCAGCACCGACAAGTTTGTTCAGCAGATGGGTTGGTTGGGAGCTCTCAAGAATATTCATTGGTTGGTACAGCCTTGTGTTTTAAGTAGGTTTAGCCACATGTGTTCTAATTAGGTAGGTGGTCAAATTGAGGTTTAAGCTAGATGTCGAGTGAATCCCGTATTTTATTTAGAACACATATGTCTTATATGCGGGGTAAGACGGTAGTGTAAACTGCAGAATCGCATTTGTTAGCCCGTGAAGCCTATTTTGTGTGATAGCAGGAGCAACATATCTAAAACGCACGCTCTAACTCTAAAATTTGAGTGAGCTACAGCTACCACGTGGGTGCGTGATCTAATGTGGCGTGGAGTGTATCTCTTGAGCGAAATGCTTAATTATTGAATCGCCTGAAAATATTGTATTCATCTTAAATTGACGATGCATTTTAGCTCAATTTTTTGCTTTTTAGGGATTCAAGTGTTAATCTAAAGATAATTGCTTGCAGTTTTTTTCAATGGAAGTTTACACCAAATGTCACAGCTCCGGTTAAGTGCGAAAATTAATTAGTCAACGTTACGATTATCTCGGCAACTCTAAATGGTTCATAAGCATCATTTTGTTTGATGCAATAATTATTGAAATATCGAAATATTGTTTGTTGCTTGCCTGCTTGAAAATTCGAAAAGCTTACCGATCTATGATAAGTAGTTTTAATACTATAACTTGCTATTGATTTAAACCTAAATAATTAGGCATGAGAAAAACTCGCCAAAATATATAGGGGGCCTCGTAATGTAAAAGGTGCTTTGGTTTAAAAATTCAGACCTCCGTTTTGTAACAACAACCGTTATATCGGCTGCATCCGACAGTATATCAGTTCTGTATGAAGGCAGTCTTACATGTATTAATACTACTTATTTAAATACGTGATGGTGCTGTACCTGTACTTCGGCCTGTAGGTACGGTGGTGATCGTCACCATCCTGTGCAAAGGCTGAGCCGGTCAGCAACGCAAAGCAAAGCTTCCATCGTCCTCTTCGTGCAGAATAAACCTGAGAACCGGAGCGAATCCTGTGGCTTCAAGCCACTGAATATCTGTGCCGTCATCTCTTGAGAAGACCAGCGCCCAGGAACTACATTTGTGATTCGGTCACCTCAGCCTCAAGCTTCCGAACGTTCTCCCCCCTGCTCGTCTCCCAACAATGTTGCGCGGTTTTGCTCTACTCGCCGCTGTTCTTCTCGAATCGGCTACTGCTGGCCCCTGCGATATCTACAACGGAGCCAAAACTCCATGTGTCGCTGCTCACAGCACCGTCCGAGCTTTGTTGGACGCTTACAAAGACGGTCTGTACCAAGTCCAGCGTGCTTCCGACTCGAAGACTCTAGACATCGCTCCTTTATCCCCCGGTGGAAATGCCGACGCAGCCGCCCAGGATGCATTCTGCAAGGGCACTACCTGCGTAATCTCGATCATCTATGACCAGTCTGGCAAGGGCAACCACCTAACGTCCGCTCCCGCTGGTGGAGCCAAGAACCGGCCGGACAGCCCCGCACGGGCTGATCGTCTTCCCGTTACGATCGGTGGAAACAAGGCGTACGGCATCTGGGTCGAAGATGGCATCGGTTACCGCAATAACAATACCACTGGTATCGCTACGGGGGACGACGCTGAAGCTATCTACATGGTCGCGGACGGCACGCACTATAACTCTGGCTGTTGTTTTGATTACGGCAACGCTGAGACTAACAACAAGGACGACGGTGCCGGTACGATGGAGGCTATTTACATCGGCAACAGCACAATGTGGGGCTACGGTGAGGGTACCGGTCCGTGGATCATGGCTGACCTTGAAGACGGTCTCTTTGGTTGTGCCGACAAGTACTGCCGGAACACACCCACGGTGAACAATCCGTATCTGGTCGCCATGCTTAAAGGTCGATCGGGAGGCACTTTTGCGCTGAAGCAAGGTAACGCCCAGTCTGGTCCTCTTCAAACCACGTACGACGGTGCTCGTCCTAAAGGGTACACGGTTATGAAGAAGCAAGGAGCTATTATCCTCGGTATCGGCGGTGATAATAGCAACTGGGCTCACGGAAGCTTCTACGAAGGCGTCATGGTAAGCGGTGACCCAACCGACGACATCGACAACCAGGTCCAAGCCAATATTGTGGCTGCCGGCTACGGAGGTGAGTCCGAAGAGCCCAAGACGTTCACTTTTAGCAACGTCGACAGCGAAAGCGGTAGCGCTAGTGATAGTGTATAAGCGTGTTCGTAATTGATCATGATGATTTCGATTCCCCTTTGACACCTTTGTTTTCACAACCTGTCAGGACATAAAGCCCTGGGTAGTATCCGATCAATATTGGGTGAAGCGTAGAGACTCTCTCACTTTACAATTCCCTCCTTACCTAAGACCGAGTATAAAAACTGTTTTGTTTTAGATGGCTGGCGTTCGCTGGACATGTATGCCTTACGGTCGTTCTCGGGCTATGACGAGCTTAAGAAATGGTCCACAAGTCGCGAAAGCAGCACTGACTCGCAATACTTAGCATTTATGGCTAGCGATCGCGCAGTGGGATTCGCAGTTTACGCTCGTATCAACCGACCCATGGAGCTGTTGAGGTCGAGGGTTACTTGGTACTCTTCATTGCTAGCAAAGACTTGAGCAGCTTCAGAGGCGATGTTCCTCATGCTAGCCATCGTATTCGAGCTCGGTTACCGGAGGTGCAGCTGAAACTGCGATAGCTGCGATACAGCTTCATGTGCCGCTGCTACTCGGTTCGGATTCACAAAAGAGGGAAAGTTTCGACAGGCACTTAACTTTCAAAAGAGGTAACAGTGTACGAGGCCCCCTATATATTTTGGCGAGTTTTTCTCATGCTTAATTATTCAGGTTTAAATTTCCCGCCACCTAACATTCTTGCGCTTTTTCCCAGTTTCTTTCTGACTCGACCTAACTATGCTAAAATTACAATTATATCCAAAAGCGGACACAATTAACTCGCGCCCTGATTGGGCAATACCTGCCGACCTGCGACACAGACTGGATCTGTCGCACGATCAGACCGTCTCTCGCCCTCGCGGTTGGACGTAAGGTAACCATTTTTGCCGAGCACGAAACGCATCGATTGGTTGCAAACAGCCAGGCGCGCGGCGGAGGCTCACTTCACAGTTAGAGCCTCGAGCAGCAACCTGTGCGCTCTTCGTCAAGGTCTCCACTTCGACCATTAACATGCCTCGCGGCACTGCTAAGAGCGGTGCTAAGACACGCTCCAAGGCTGCAGCCGGTAAGGCGCAGGTCAAGAGCACTAAGCCTCACGGCAAAGGCTCTGCACTCAAGGAGGCTACTCAGGTGGCCTCCGAGGCGATCGGTTCTCGGGTGACGCGGCTGCGGACAAGCGCGCAAGCAGGCGCCGCAGTCCGTCGCCCTCGCGTCTTCAGACAACCGTCCGAACCCTCGGTTCGTAGAACGCGAGTTCAACTCGGGCAGTGAAGACGATGCCGAGTCCGAGAGCACTCAGGATGCTCCTGCGGGCTCTGTGGGAGGGCACAGCCCAGTGCCCAGTGAGCACAAAGAAGGCAGCGTGCAGTCGCCCGCTAGTGATCACGGTGATCACAGTCCTAGGACCTCTGTGCGCTCTGAGAGTCCGGCCGTTAGGGCTAAGGGCGCTCCCAAAGCCGGTGGCGATGAGGAAGAGAATCCTCGCAAACGTCTCTCGCTTGCCGAGGGTCTTGCGCGCGCTAAGGCCTCTAAAGCCGAAGGCGCCAAGCCCTCAAAGAAGCGTACCGCCTCTAAGTCTCCACTTCGCGAGGAGAAGGAGACTCGACGCTCCTATCAGAGTCTCTTCGGCTCCTCGGATGAAGAGGAGGAGAAGGAGGAAGAAGAGGAGGAGGAGGGTGCTATTGTTGAGCCCCGGGAGGTCTCGAATGACCTCGACCAGCAGCAGGAGGAATTCCAAGCTGCCCAGCGTGTGCGTGGGGGTTCGGTGGCGGCACCCGTCAGCCAGGGAGCTGCCATCAACTCAAGAGGGTATTGGCCTCCCGAGGAGAGCTCTGGGGCTGACCTCTTCTTAGAACTTCTCGTCGCTCCTCGTGGCCTTGTGGGCGGCCACACTTCTAGGGGCATCTATGAACGAGCCCTTGTTCAGAAAGAACAGTTGATCGTCGACAACTTGGAGGCTGCTCGGTGTGTGCTTCTCGCGCAACACCGCATTCCCCTTAAGGACTTCACGACTTGTCGTAAGAAGCCCGAGACCCGGGGTGGTCTCTATCCTGTTTGGGGATACCCCTGGGTTATGCCCGAGAACTGTCCCACGTGGAGCTCCTGTTTGGACATGTTCTGGGCGTGGGTGGAGACTCTCAAGTACTCGTTCACGGAGTTATGGGAACTCCATGAAGATCAGCAGCTGTCCCATATCCTGGACCAGCGTGATCTTCGTGTGAGGTTTACCCACTTGATCAGCAAGCGTATGCTGCCAAGGGACATCCTGAAGCGCGCGGCTTCTAGCGCTCACGATGAGCGCGGGTACGGTATGTATTCATCGTCCGTACCCCGTTCGGGCAAGAAGCCCCGGACTACTTATGAAGCTGCCGCCGCTTCTGTTCCCAGATTGCGACAGCCTTCGGGCAGTCAATCAGGAGCCGTTCAATCGGCTCCCACGAGTTCTCGGAGTGGGCATAACCCCTCCACTTCACGAGGAGCTGTCGCTTGCCGCGACACCGTTGCTCCTGGAGGATCCGCTCCACGTGGAAGTGGGCTTCTCCATTCCGGTCAAGCAGGGGCGGAGGTGCCCTCGTACGAGTACGAGTACTCGGCGCCTCCCGAGAGCCACTCTCGTCCGACTGCGGGTCCGACACAGGACCCTGAGGTTGACCGCCTCCGTCAACGTGTCCTCGTGCTTGAGATTGCACTTGGCCTTGGGACTGGCGGTAATGCTGCCGCCCAGGCTGGGAATCAGGGCGAGCTCGCTCGTCTTGCGGGCCGCCTGGACCTGGTGGAGCGAGAGGTCGCGAGCCTGCACCTGCGGGTGGATCGCCGGGCCTCTTCGTCCGATCTGGACGAGGCCTTTCGCATGATCCGACGGATCGAGGCTTTGTTGCCACGTCCGGAGCCGCCTGCGGCACACTCCCAGACGTACGCGTATGGTGCGTACCCGGCGTACTCAGCGTACTCGGCGTATGGCGCCGGGGTCCGTTCGTATGGAGCCCCTCCGACGTACGGTCCTGACCGCAGCCTTGCCGTCCCGACCGAGGCTTGGGTGCCTGCTCCGACGCCCTCGTCGACGACTGTGACCGGCCCTCGCTTCGAGGAGCTGGGTCAAGGGGGGTCTGCGAGTCAGCAACCCCCTGCGGGTCAAAGTACCGCTTAAGACGTCCGACATAGAACGTCGGGTGCGTCTTCATTGACTTTGGAAGGTCGATGGTGTACTACGCACCATGTCTGGCCAGGACTGCAAAAGGTCCGATGAAGCGGTGCTTCAGTTTGTTGCTGCCGACAGAGCTAACAGTGTCTAGAGGTAGGTTCCTCGTGTCTAGCAACACTAAGTCACCAACCTCAAATATACTTAAGTTTCCTCTTCCTTGTTTGTCTAAGTACTCCTTTTGTTTATCTTGGGCCGCTGCCATGGCATCGCGGACCCTGCTGACAATGTTCAGCTTGGTATCCATAAAGGATTCCTCCTGTTTCCGCAGCGAAACTGGCCTCACATCCGAGACCTGGGAGGAAAGGGCTTTCCAAGCCTCTCCCCCACTTAGAATAGAGGAGTCAGTGTCTCGAAGAGTGAGAGGCACTCTGGGGTGGCGGAAGCCGTTCAAGTAGAACGGCGTGAACCCCGTGGACGCGTGCACCGCGTTGTTGAGCGCAAACTCAACAGCTGAAAGCTGCGACGACCACGTACGTGGCGCTGCCGCGCACACACTGCGCAGAGTGTCCTCGAGCACTCGATTGACGCGCTCTTTTGGCCGTCTGTCTGCGGATGATCCGCAGTGGACATCTGCAGACGAGTTCCCAGTAAAGGGAACAGCGTTTTCCAAAACGCAGCAGTGAACCGCGGGTCTCGGTCCGAGACAATCGTCTCCGGGAGACCGTGATAGCGGAACACGCCATCGACGAACAACCTTTCGGTTTGTTCGCCCGTTACAGTGACGGGAACTGGAGCAAGATGTACCATCTTGCTCAGCCGACACACGAACACCAAAATTCCGGTGTTGCCGTGTCCGTCGGCGGGAAGCCCAAAGATGAAGTCAAGACTCATCGACTTCCAACAATCAGCCGGTACGGGCAGGCTCTGTAGTGGAGCCGAAGAGTGCCCTGCGGGTTTGACCCGCTGACATGTTTCGCATGTCTTGACGTATCGGGCGACCCACTTGTACATGTGGGTCCACCAGAAGGACTGAGAGACCGACAGAAAGGTCTTCTCGCGGCCCAAGTGGCCGCTGGAGGGCGCGTCATGCGCCTCCGCGAGGATGTCGAACTTCAGATCCTCGTCGTTGGGTACGACCACCCGTGGAGGATCAGTGGGCTCCACCCGATAATAGAGGAGGCCCTCCTTCAACTCATATCGGTGGAGCCGTGAGCGCTGTCGCGACGAGAGCCAGTCGGACTTCGCGCTCGTTCCGGCCTTAAGGAACTTGACGATAGGCGCGACAGCCTCATCGTCCCGATACGCCATGCGTATCCGGTCATATAGATCCGTTGTCACCCGCGTGATGTGGGCCAACTCATAGTCGGGACGCCGAGAGAGGGCGTCCGCAAGCACGTTGAGCTTGCCCGGCTTGTATTCGACGCGGAAGTTGTATTCCGCGAAGAAGGACAGCCACCTCGCCATCCTTTGGGAGAGGTGAGGCGAGTTAGTCGCCGTCCTCAAGGACGCGTGGTCTGTGTAGATCACAAAGGGCCTAGAGCCCAGAAGGTGAATACGGAACTTCACAAGGGCATATTTCATTGCCAGGAGCTCCTTGTCATGGACACGGTAGTTCCGCTCGGCGGCTTTGAGCTGCCGGGACTGGAACGAGATGACTCGTTCCTGTCCAGCCGTGTCGTCCTGCAGCAATGCACACCCGATGGCGTAATCGGAGGCATCGCAGACGACGCTAAACGGCTTCGTCTCGTCCGGCAGAGCCAGGACAGGGGCCTCTTGGAGACTGGCCTTGATGCTGTCAGAAGCATCCTGGTGCTCTTGTTCCCAGCGCCAGTCGACGTCCTTCTGAAGGAGGCTCGACAAGGGCTTAGCGAAGCCCGCGTACCCAGCGCTGTACTTGTGA